GAACTGATGCCAGCCTGTCTAGTCCTGACATATTGGGCAGGCAGGCAGACATGCATAGACATCAAATGTGGCACACTGAAGAGAAGTCAACTTTTGTCTCGATTTCAAGCGGAGATAAACAAACAGACTGTGCTACCGTTCCTGACCCTACATTCTTCTCTCCGATCCTTAATAGGAGCTCACAGTATTTCTGCTGCATTAGAATGACAAGACGGTGAGAATGGGGATGACGCACATAGCATTATGTCTCATGTGTTTCCCAGATACTTTTTTTTTTACCTGTGCAAACATGCCATATTTGATTTTGTTTGAGGTAGGCTATACCTCGGGCTGCCCACGCTAATCTAAAGTCTAAAGCATTTGGCAGACAGCAGAGACGTCTGTTCACGATGATGACAGCAGAGATGAAGCTATCAGCTTTCCCTTCTGAAAAGCGGGGAAGATGAGAGACCTTGATGTCTCCGATTGTACAGACATTAGGTCCTCCACTGTTGAGTCAACAGATCAATAAGAGTGTTGTTGAACTTGAGCCGTGTAGCACTTTGAATTGAAAACATCATCATCTATTCATGAGGCTCCAAGTGAATTACCAAAAGTTCTTGGGCTACTGTTGGCTGAAGCACTTAGTGATTTAGTGTGCTACATCCAATCTTATAATGCACATTACATATGCACATGATAGATGCAACACATAATTGAGTGTAACCAGTAGGTAGTTTGTCATTTGAATCAATCGAGGAATGTTAATTATTCTGGCTATCTGACTGGGATTTCTATTGAACGTGACATTTCACTAAAGCGTATGACATTATAAAAAGTGTAATCCAATAAGCTAATATTGTACATGTAAGTGTAAAGCAAAAGGACAGCAACTGAGCGTATGAGGAAACAAAGCCTGATGTGGAAACGAGACGTTACATTATAGTAGCACTGACGTGTGAAAGTTACCCATGCTTGCTAAACCTGTCAGCTGCTTTGTTATTATGAGTGTCTGCACAGTTACATAAGAAAAAAATATTTGTTTAAAAAAAGGAGTTTTTGAAAAAAAAAAAAAAAGGAGAGCTGTCTCAGTCAGGAGAGATAAAAAAAAAGTTGCTGAGAATGAGTCACTTTGTAACTAAGAGAGGACGAAGTGAAGAGAAATAAGGAGCACATGACAAGAGCATGCATGTGCAAACACAATGATACATAAAATTAACTAATCAAAAGCATGAACATGGGCAGTAAACACTGAAAAATGCATCCAATCGCTGCTTCAAGACAAATAAGCAAAGGGAAAATACAAGTGGGAAGATGAGAGAGCTAGCAAGAGACAGACGTGAGTGTTTTCTCCTGGAAAACATTGTGGGGCTGGTTGTTGTTGGGACTTGGGATGGGGTTGGATGATCACGTTAAGAGCTAACAGATGTGCTACTAATGTCTTGCATATCAAGCTGCCACGCCATTGCTAAAACCAAACAGGCCTGCACTGAAAGAGGAGATGAGAAGGACAGTGTTTAAATGGAAAAAGTACGGGCAGGTGTAAGCAAAGCAACCATGCAACAAGGACCAACAGAAACAAAGAGAAAGCAGAAGGAAATAGTTCTGCAGCTCTATGAATAATATGCATTTTTACTAAGTGGTTCTGGTTTTGTACTTGCTGTGCAAAAAGGCAGTGACCTTTACCTCTCAGTAGTTTAAATCTAACATATCTAGCTGTAAAGTGTTTATGTGTGTGTGAGAGAGAAAAAAAAGAGAGAAAGAAAGACCTGAATGCCATTATAAACTCGTGTTAATAAGGCCATAATAACACTAAAGCTGTCTATGAGGCTACCAGCAGCCATGTGAATGCTTCAGAAATAGACTAAAGAAACCCAAAGGCATCACAGTGGCAAACTATTCCATAATTAAACCAAGCTTAATCTAATTATTCTCAACATTCATCTAAACAGCACACGAGGAAAGACAGGAACCATGCTGTTAAACCTCTAACTCATCCACCTGCGCACATTCAACTACAAACAACCAACAACACGACCACGATCATCCGTCTGTGAACAAGAGACTCCAGTCTGAAAGTAGCCAACTGCTCGGGCTTGTAAATGCACGGTCCTAAAGCCAATTTGGGGGGGATGGAGGGATGCAGTGTGGTATTTGGGTCAACATTGTTCATATTTTCAGCCTTTAATTTGTTTATCCTCTGAAAAAATGCATGCCAGTCTAACATGGTATGTTTGCACAGCGCCGTTTCAACCCACTGCTCCAAGCTCTCTGTACTGTACCTTCCCTTCAAAAGCTTTTAAGTCTCCTAATGAGATTAATTAAGCCAGTCCAGAGTTTGTTTAATGAGGCCCTAGTGGCCTGAAGCACGGAAAAGGACCATGGCTGGGAAATAGGAGGTTTACATTCCAAATAAAAAAGAACCAAGACTCTAAAAGAGGCTTTAAAAACAGGGTTTAGAAAGTTAAACTTTTGAGTCAAGTGGCGATAATCCATTTAGCTACAGGGGCAATGGGACACTTCTAGAGATTGGCAGGTCAGTAACTAAATTGATAAACATTCAAGAGTAAATTCCAGCCCAAGCGCTCTCTATTATTCCCCCTTCTTCCTCTGAAAGGGGCCGTATGAAGCAGACTACACTCTGACTGAAGTTTTAACACGTTTAGCAACTTCTGCTCTGGCGAATGTTTAATATGTCGTGGTTTTCTAGCACTTCTGAAGAGGTAAATTATTTTCCAGTGCTTGGATTTGCCTTTCTCAACAGTTGTTTAGATTAGGATACCAAGACCTACTTCAACAACTCAGAATGTATACTATTCCAGAAAGTCTTAAATTCCTTTAGCATCAGAAATCACTTTATTGTACATACTGAAAAATCACCTCCCGAACTTTGTGTTGGTACCACTCATGCTCCCAAAACAGCTCTGAACCATTAAGACATAACAAAACCTCTCAAAGTGTTCTCCGATATCAGGCGCAATGATGGTAGCAGCAGCTGCTTTAAGTCCTATAAGTTACAAGGTGGGGCATCCATGGATTCAACTTTTTTGTTCCCTGCACATCCCACAAATGCTCAATTGCATTAATCCCAGGAATTTGAACAACAGGTCAACCCCATGAACTTTGTCATTTTCTTTGAAACATTCCTGGACATTTTTTGTAGGATTCTTGCAGGGAGAACTGTCCAACGGAAAGAGGCTAATGCCATCAGGGAATACTGTGGCATGAATTGGTGTACGTGATCTACAACAGTTTTTAGGCAAGTGGTGTCAAAGAAGCAATGTCCAGACCCAAGGTTCCCCAGCAGAACAGGTACCAAACCCTAGAGCTGGGCCATATCATACCGTGCACGATAATACCGGTGCAATGTTAGGGGATTATATGAAATTGAAATATCGCAATAAAATTTCATAGTTGGGCTGGACCCGAATATTGGACTATTCGGTCGTTGTGGTCATGTCCGGATAGCAATTTTGAGATCTGAATATTCTCCCACCATTCCCCGCTAATCTATCATATCGTGATAGATGTTTTTGGCCATATCACCCTGCCCTACCAACTTCTGAATACCACAAATGCCCCACAAGACCTGCCGTTTTGGAGATACTGAATCAGTAGTCTGGCTCTGGTCCAAAAAAAAACATAAAATAAAAATAATCCATCAGGTCCTTACACTTGCCCATTTTTTCTGCTTCCAACATGTAAAATTCAAATACTGTCCACTGGCTGCATAATATATTCCACCCCTTGACAGGTGCCATTGTAAAGTGATAATCAGTGTCATTCACTTCACCTGTCACTGGTTTGAATATGATCGGTGTGGATGGTGAGAGACACACTTCTATTAGACAACACGCGACACCGTTCAATGTGGAGTACTGTATAGCAAAATTAAAATGTGTAATAACGGTTAACAGTAACCCCGTCCTTCTTCCGCAGAAGACTTTCAAATTTATTTCCTCTCTATGAAAATCATACATCATGATAAACTGGATACACAGCTCGGCTTTCTCACTCAGTGCAATCTTAAAGTTTTTAAAAGTTTTGGAGACTGTTGCTAACTTTGTTTTGGCAGCATTGGCAACAACACCTTCTGCATAATTTATACCGTGCATCTCATTCTTTTCTTTATTGTGTCTCACCGATGAAACTCTGGTAACCACAAACATCTCGATACATTTTTTAGCTGCACTTTCTGTTCGACTCGTGTTTCCTTCGTACGGTCTTGTGACTCGCCAGCTCTGTCAGATGAACTTGGACCAAAGTAACTGCCCACGTCACGAGTAGCCTCCCAATGCTATGTATTAATATTAGAGCACACATGCAAACAGACAGCTTTAAACAGTCAGACAGTCATGAGCTTCATGAACAGACCGGTTCTGACATGGTGAGTTACTGTCTGTGCTGTGCTGCCAGTAATTCAGTTACCTTATATCAAGTCGTTCCTAATGCATCAACAGTTTTACCTTTCACATCATAAATTAGATTTAGAGGTTATCAAAAGGCCATTTATGACTAAGTAATTCATCAGACTGGGGCTCTTGGTGAAGCTGGAGCGAAATAAACACATCAATGGCCATTTGGTCAACGCAGCAACAATACTTTGCCGCTGCCTTTAAAGTCGGAGGAAGCTCGATCCCCATTTCACAGACAAACTCCAGACACATCAGCTAAATAATCTTGCACTTTGTCTAAGAGGTTGCACAGGTACACACAATAGCTCCCCTACCATCAGCACCAAGCAGAGAGGTTTGCTCAGAGAACAATGCAGCGTCTAGGATAGAGGCAATCACACGCTCAGGCAGGAAGGAAGAAAAAGAGAGGCAATCAAAGAATATGCTTCTTTGACATATAAAACAAATCAACTCCTGAGTATTTTCACAGGTTTAGTGATGCGAAAAAAATCCAGGGACATTAGGAGGAAACAAAGGAGTGGTACAAAAATGGAAATGCAAGGAAACAAAATGTTAATAGTGAGCTTTCATTCTCATACTCCGTATTTAAAATAGTTGTTGTCTTACCTATTTGCCTCTCCAGGTCAGCTGCCTCGTCTGGGGTGGCTCTGGGCAGCACCCCAGGGTCACTGAAGCTGGTTCTCAGAAGTGTTCCCAGTACAAACAGGAACAGCACACCTCCTATGACTGGGATGATGGGGGTCAGCTGCAGCGCCAGGAACGGACAACTGGTCGGACAGGAAGAGGTGGAAAGAGAAAGATAAATAAGCGATAACCAAATGACTTGTTATATCTGACACCCCGGTGAGTAAATAAAAACTTCAATATTCAAATAGCCCCATTCCTGGCGTATTACTGGACAGACATCAGTTTGCAGGCGTCTCTTTGCTCAAACACAAACTCACTTTTCTAAATTTAAACATTACACACAGATACCAGGAAACACTGGATGCCAGTTGGGGCTGAAGTTCAGGAAGTGGTAATATCAGTGACTTAATGTTTAATGACCAGTAAGTGGATATAAGAGACAGACGCACACAAGAAAGGTCAGTCCTCTGTGTTGTAATCTGTTCTAATGAGACAATTTCACATAATCCCATTAAATGTTGAACGGTGCAGGTGGTTATTACAGTAATCACATTTAGTCCTACAGAGGTGGAGCACAGGCTGCTGCATCCTGTTTCATTTGTTAGTCTGTGGTCTATTGGATTGGATTTGGGGTCAGCAAAGAGGAGCCTTTCCAGTCAACGATAACTAAATGAACATGTGGCAGCCATATGCTTTGAGGGATGCTGTTGAGGAATGCAAAACAGCACTGGGATTTGAGCATAAAAGGACTTGTTTATCCGTTTAAATAAAATCCCAAAGAGATTCAGTACAACGCACCTCATCTATTCAAAAGCTTTTGTCGAATTACTTTCATTAAAAAAGTACTTCTGTGCATTTCCCTTAAAATGTTACACACTACAAAACTGTCAAACCATATTGCTCCTATTTAAATCTTTTCTTTTTTTTATACTCGTAACACATTCTATTGGTTGCTGATAGACATTATAGCGCCATCGCACCATCTCACCAGTTTTCAGATGGCAACACATTAGGAGGGCAGTTACATCCGCTGATCTGTGCCAACATCAGTTAATGTGACGAACCAAGCCAAACTATATTTAGGCTTGCCATGTTGGGTTCCAACAATGACAGCGGTTGGAGCAGAGTAAATTTGGACCCGGAGCATTCACTTGGATTTGCTGATCTATGCTAACTGGACTTCCACCATCAATCTTCTGCACACGCTCCGCTCTCACATATACTGCGGGAGATGACTGCCCTTCAGTCTGGGAAAAAGGTCAGCCAACATATAAGACCGCAGCGAAGGCCATTTTCTCAGGTGCTTTAATGGTACACCTTCAGCCATTTAATTAGGGTGTGATGAAAAGAACCTATCTGACCCCAACAGATGAGAGGTTTTTCAGATGAATGGCAAATAAAACGTTATATTATACTCTGTAATACTTGCGCCGTTTTTTTTTTTTTTGAGAACAGCAGGTGAGCCGTGACACCCTGTCCAAGTTGAAACCGGCCAGTCCCGCTGCTCTACATCTGGAGTGAGACTGGACTAAGCAAAAATCACAGGGTTGTCTGGGACATCAGCAGGGGGCTGTGGCCCGTACAACAATGAGGAGCAAAACATTTTTGCAGTTAAAAACTTGAGTGAACTTCCCAAAGTCACTGTGCTGGGGCACAGACTCAGGCAATGTGCAACACACAATTTAAACTAGGAGCTCATTAGAAACACTTGCTCATCTACGTCCATTTAACTCTGTGGCTTCTCAGCCAACTACGGTGGAGATGCACCATCCAGCACTGTTCTTTGAGACTACAACAGGTCATATTTTCATCTATGGCTGGGGCAGAACTGCAGCTCATCTTTATGCTTAGAATTGTTGGCAAAAAAAATAAAATCCAACATTATGAAATGAATCAGTTGGACTGCTCTTTGTTTCCAAACTCTTCCTAAACTGGTTTAGTCTCAGGCTGTATAATCTCACATTATTACTTTTGCAACAGCAACATCTCGGTCATGTAGGTTATACAAACAGGGACAGATGTGTTCAATACTCTTCAGTTAATATGCTGCATTCCTGAATGATGAATAAGCATTTTGATTAAATCTTTTCTCACAGCAGTCCTCTCCCTTTGCCTTGATTCTTGCACTTCCTTCGTCAAAACTGACTTTTTTTTTTTAAACTTTACTTTGACTTCATCTTGACAACATAAATGTGAATAACTTCCAGAGTTTTCTAGAAGTCAATATTGATTTCTTGTGTATTGTAAAGTCCAGTCAACACTGAGATATACCTTGTCAAGAGCTGGAAAAATAACTCTGCACATTGCTCAGTCTTCCTTCACTGCCAAAGTAGGACGAAAACGTATGTATTCAAAAATACCAGTTTCCTGCAACTGCCAGGGAGGAAATAACAAAAGAATGCTGGCAAATTTCTGACTATTTAGGCTGTGCTGAGAGGACAATTCTTTAAGACATGCTGAAAAGGATGACTACTCCAGTCATGCAGGGAAAGAGCTCAGTCTTTTGTTTCTTGTCTGGAGGCATCAGGAATCATCATCATATAGCTCACACAGTGAACACAGCCTCTCACCAAAACATAACAGCTTCTCAAATAAAAGTAATATGTTTTTAAGCCCGTCAGTGACTGTAAAACGACACAATTAAACTAGAAATCCAGCACACACGTCTACAGATGAACAGTGGTGTTTGACAGCACTGGAAGGCTACAGTCCGCAGCTTGTCACTGTCCGTCTACATCTGCCCCGGTAAAGCAGACGATTTCAAAGTCTGATGTCACCACCCAGCATCTTTTCATCTACCCATTCAATCTGGCCCCTATTCAGTATGACTGGTCACACATCACATTAATGAATCCACTAATTAGAGGTGCTAATGGGAAATCACTACAGTTGTAAAAAGCTTGGCAGACCTTGGGGTGAGGGTTCTACATCTGTAACAATTAACCCAAAGCCAAGATTAGACAGGTTTTGAAGCAATCAATGAGAAAGTCGAGCTCCCCACTGAAATATCAAATCATCGTTAAGAAATAAAAAATGCAAAGAACACTGTGAGCGCGCTGCGTGTTCTCTCTTTCTGCAGAAAAAGCTGAAACATGTGGATCTGCGCTCCGTTTCAATAAAAACATTGCGTTTCAAAACTCGCCGTTTGGCAAATAGTTATGGCTGAGAGAACAGCACAGAGCGCTGCCTCTGTCCTCGGGAGCTGTGTCTCTATGTGTCTGACATCAGGAACATAATGAAAAGGCAGTCATGTGTGATATAAAGTGACAGGTTGGTGGAATCGGACAGAGATTAAACACCAAAGCCATTAGAGGAAGGGGGATAGATGCAACATCAAGTCTGCCTCTCCTGTAGACACTGATCAACAGAAATACATGGATGTGCTGCAGGTAAGCAAAACGATGGCTGGTTTGAGTTTCCCCGAAAGAAAATGTCCCAAAAAAAAAAAATCAGTCTTTATCGGCCATTGAACATGAGCAGTAAAGACCATGAGCAATTTTACCAACTCCGTTTTCTTTTAAGGACTGCAAAGGGCAGATATCGACAAGGAACTGGACATTTCCAAAGTTACATCTTCATTTCTCTTTGTTTGATACCAAATCTTATATTTAACTGAGACTTTAGGGGCTTTGTTGCCATGGAGACGGACAGTATCCAATGTCAGACACGGTAAATTTCGAAAGCGAATGTGGTTACCCTGGAAACAGCCACACGAGTGAGCCGAAGCCTCCAAGGAAGAAATAAAAAAGAAACAGACGTTCAACAAGATAGAGACAGCATGATGACATTCATTACAATCCTGGTAAATGCCTCAAAACGTTTGGCCGACGACGAAGACGGAGGCTAAGTGACTGCTGGATATGATCCAACAATGGTGGCAAAAACTGATGCTGACCACAGAGGAAAAGACTAAACGTATGGGGACAAGAAAGACCGCTGAGCCGGTTACGAGCACGATGTGGGTGTGATGACTGATTGGATTAAGTCTGTTCCAGTCTGGGTTAGTTGGTGTTGAAAGTTGGCCATAAAAACATTGTGTGTGACATGAAAAGTTTACAGGGTAGACATAGCAGTAAATCACCTGCTTTGCCAAACAGGCAGAAGAGGAAATATCCAACCTAACTCATCTTTAAATGTTCATCAATCACACTTTCCCATGTTGTGGTGTAATCTGCTAATGTGCAAATCTTGTGCAATGGCTTCTTTCACTAAATTATAATTTAACAAATTTGTATTTATTATTATTTTTTTCCAGTTTGTAGTTATTCGAGTGACTATTGTGAATTTTTCTTTAATGGAAGGGTATGAATACATTTGACGACGACTGTACTACAAGCAAAAATATGTATGAATAAAACCAAATGGGGTTTTTTTCCACCTCAAATTAAATCAACAGAGGATTGTTTTAAATGTCTATACTGCAGTTGATCAAATTCACTTGATTGCAGGAAGCCAAAATCATGACAGAATAATATTCTATTAGCTGTGCAGCTCCACTTGTTGGTCAATCAACATTGTGTACTACTGTTGGTTCAGCAACAAGTCAAACGCACACATATTGACTGCAAAGCCCAGGTGAGACATGACTGCTCTTTGACAGCTGCTACTGATGACTACTCACCAAAAAGTCCTTATTTATAAAATGCACAGTAAAAATCTGTATGAATTGACTGCAATAAAAATATGACAGCTAATTACAAGGGAAAAACTCTAATGATAAATGGGTAGTGCATCTTCATCTACAGCATGTCACTGTTAAGCAAACAGCAGCATAATGCACAACAAGTAATGAGTTCAATTGAAGGAAGCTTACAAGCGTCGAGAAGGCATTAAGCAGCCTGACACATTAACATATGGAAAACCTAGTGTTTGTTTTATATTTAAATAAGGACCCTCATTGCTTTATTGTTTGATTCCACTGGAAGGACCAAAGCTTGGTTCTGATTTTGAATCCTGTGACTAAATTAAAGTACTTTAGGGCCAAAAGTTGACACCGTCCATCTTCTTGTGTAAACTTAATCTGTTAATCTTTGACTGTTGTCTCATTTGCACCATTTTTATTCCAGATTTACTCCTCATTAAGATCACCAATCACAACTTTTTAACCATTTGAAATATTAGTACAGTATGGAAATAATGG